ATCTCTGAAGGAAATGCTTACACTTACAACACTTAAAGACTCCCAGGGATTTTAATCACAAGAGAAATGGAAACTCATTTTCATACATAGAACTTTACGTTCTTGGGGAAGTCAGGACATATGAGCTCATAGTGGAGAGTACCATGCCTGTTTTATGTAAGAACTTATTCCTTTCTCAGCCCACTGGAGCACAGTCAATGACCAAATATTTCACTTCATTAGACGTTATTTATTTATTTTAATAAGATGCCATTCTTACCAACGGAAGCCAGGTTTTTCAAGGTTTCAAGCATCACATCTCTGTAGAGTTTCCTCTGGGTAAGATCCAGCAGAGCCCACTCTTCCTGGGTGAAGACCACGGCCACATCCTCCACTACCACTGAGTCCTACAACATCCCACACATTCTGCATCAGGAAGGTACAATGGACTCCAATGTGTACAAGCATGAACAGTGAGGCTGACAGCCCAAGGAAACTCGAACCATAGAGGTTTGACAAAAGGTTCTATGTTCTACTGAGGTCTACACTACAGTATAAACATCAACTTCATCCCTTCACTAACTACTTCACTTCCACAGATTGCCTTCTGCCTCCCAAACCTCCAACATACGGAAATAATTTCTCCAAAGTTGGATTGCGACTAGATGTAGTCTCATTCCTCCCTCTTGATGGTGAAGAACAGTAAGAAAACATAGCAAAAATTTCAGCAATTCTCTCAGTTACATCATCACTTCCCTGTCAACAATCATACCAATGAAAACACCAGAACGTGCTCAAGTCACTGCTGGTGGGAATGCAAAATCTCCATCTAGCTTGGCAATTCCTTCCAAAATGGAATATATGTTAAGACCTCAACCAGCAATTGCCACCTCTGGGATTTGCTCAAATTAGATGAAAACTTTTGTCCACACAAAAACCTGTAATAGAAATAGTTTAACATCTTTATTGATGATTGCCAAAAGGTGGAAGCTACCAAGAGGCAATTTTAAAGACAAATGGATGAAAGCATTCTTTGTCAGTTACCAGGGGTGGGAGGGGAGAGAAGGGAACACTGTTAGATAGGTAGAGACAAGTATGATTTGGGTGAAGAAAAGGGCAATGTACCAAATATGAGTGATTAACACAGTGCCACTGAGGAGGAGGAAGAAGAGATAGAGTGGTACACAGGAGGTACAGACCACAAGGATGAAACCTTCTGCATATATAGCACTGCATTGTCAGTGATGGCAAACATGGACCTGCAGGTGGACAGATGGGTAGACAGGTTGAATAATCAGGTATGTCTATGCAGGCGGTAGTGTGCCCATGACCATGTATAGGCCTGACAGACGATGTTTCTACAAGTGTATCTGTATGTTCTGTAAGAATGTTCAGGTATATAGTAGAGCTGACAAGGGACAAGGTTGTAGTCACTTCTTGGCCACAGCCAGTGTACCAAAGGCAATGAATAGTT